GGCGGGGGCGGCGGGGTCCGGCCGCCAGGGTGGGCGCAGGCTGCGCAGATGCCGGCTCCGCGGCGCACTCCTAGGACTGCGTTAGGCGGCAACTCCCTGCGCGCGGCTCCCTCTGCGTCCCGCGGGCGCCGCCTGCCCCGCGGAGATAAGCGCCCCGCGCCCCCGCCGAGCTTGCACACGTGTTGCGCGCGTCCCGAGCCTACCTCGGGACTGGGACCGCGACAGCCACCCGCCCGCGTCGCAGAGAAGACTGTCCCGGAGCACGCCGGGACGACCCCCAAACTCCCGCCTCCGGAGCTCGAGCTAATGAGCAGGCGCGGCGCGCGCTGGTAATCACCCGGCGCTACCCGGGCTGATCGATCCATACCTCGACCTGCCTGGACCGGCTGGGGCGCCGCCGCTGACCTGGCTCCAAGCACCCAGGACGCTGACGCCGAGGCTTTTTCTGTCACACCCACCCCGCGAGCAAGCAGGCGATTTCTAGTGGAGCTTCTAAGAAAACGGGATGCTTTTGCCCTAGGGCCCATAAAATCAGGAACTGAACCTCAGGGGGAGGAGGAAAGCTGGGTTTCGACTGAAAATGTAACCGCGAACAATGTAAATATTATTTCTCACACTTCTGTAATAAGTCCTTCTCTGCACTATTCTGATGACCTAGAAAAGCGCTGGTCGTCTGGCAGCCTGGCCACTCCAACACTCACCTGCTAAGCGACCCTAGAAATCAGTACTTACAGTGGGATACTTGCAGGTTTGCCTTTACGAACACAAATCAGAGGATCAGTTGCTTAAACCAATACTAGGAGTTACCTTTCATTTTTGAACCCATACTTGAAATTTTCGGTCAAAAAAAACCTAGATAAGAAAATTCTACGGGAACCAGCAGCTAGCGTAATGGCTATGTCGCTGGACTCCCACGTAGTCGACCGCAATTCACGTCCGGGACCGGTGGCTTAAAACTCACGCCAGGCGCGTGTGCGTGCGTGCCCAAGATCCCAGGAGGAGAATGGAGGAGGAGAATGGAGGAGAAGGGATTGCGGCGTGACCATCCCCCCTGGGTGGGTGATTTCTCGCTTTCTGTCTCTATGTCTCTCTCTGTCTGTCTGGCGAGTGCACACGCCCTATAGCAAAGACCTCTCCAAAAAAAAGAAAAAGAAAATTCTACACAATTTTGGGGAGATATTGAAAATACTACGCTGAATAAAAAAATAAACAACAAACAAAAAATACTATGCTGTATACTTTCCAAAGACTTTAAAGTATATATTATAATATATCCAAACATCTGGGTGAAATTACTCTTGGATTAATTTCTGTCAGTTAAAGATTCCTAAAGACCCATATGCACATGTATTTTAGTCATACTCCACTTTAAGTCAAAATGAGGATAAATTTCCTCAGATCTGGTTTGTGTTTTTGTTTTACTACAGGGTGCGTCCACTCCCCAGAGAGAGAGAGGGAAAGTGAGAAATCACTCACCAGGGAGGATGGCCAGGCTGCAATCCCTTCTCCTCCATTCTCTGGGGATTTGGGACACATAAGCACACAATCCTGACCTGTTTTTCAAGCCACCACATGTAGGACTCCAACCGCACTGTGGGTCATATGGGATCCAGCCACTTGAACCACCATACCACCTGCTGGCCTAGACCTGCTTTTTCATGACTATTCACAAAATGAAGAGCACATCTGGGCCAGCAAGCTGGCATGGTGGCTAAGGTGGCTAGAACCCACATGACCCACCATGTGGTTGGAGCCCTGCACCCAGTGGCTTGAAAAACATGCTGGGGTGTGCAAGCAGGCTGGAAATCCCCAGAGGAGGATGGAGGAGAAGAGACTACGGCCTGGCCATTCTTCCTGGGGAGGGACCTCTCCCTTCTCCTCTCTCTCTCTCCTCCTCTCTGGCGAGTAGAGTGTGTGTGCCCTATAGCAAGCTAAACAAATAAATAAATGACTCAAGCGCATAGAAGCAGAGAGCGTAATGGTAGATATTAGATGCTGAATGGGGGTGGGGAGGAATGGGAAGGAGTTGGTTAAAAGGCCCAAGCGTGCATGTAGACAAATGGCATCGATTTTGGAAGCACGTTCCACAGGAGACTAACAAACAAATGTAATGCAGTAATACTCCTCCTCAAAGTGATTTTCAGGTGAGCACAGCTTAGTATGGTATGGATTGCTGGGAACAATGAGGGCGTTTCTGTCCAGGATCTGATTGTCGCACACTGTACAGATGTTTTTTAAAAACCATATTGTGGCGGGGCCCAGCAGATGGCATGGTGGTTAAAGGCACTGGGCTCCCACGTGGTCGACCCTGGCTCGAATCCCAAAACTGGCAGCTTGCTTTCTCACTTTCATTCTCTCACTCTCACTCTGTCCCTCTCTAGTCAAATTAAAATAAATAGATAAATAAAGTTAAATAAAATAATTCCTAAAAAAAAACAAAACAAGTAATGTGGGGTCAGCAGGTGACATAGCAGTTAAGGTGCTGGACTCCACATCACCAGCCATGGTCCGAGTTCCAGATCCTGGGGCTTCAAAACCATCCGGAGCACGTGTGTGTGTGTGTGTGTGTGTGCCCAAAATCTCAAGAGGAGAATGGAGAAGGGATTGTGTCATGCCCATCCCCCTTGGACCAGGGGGTGATTTTTCTCTTTTTCTATGTCTCTATCTCTCCAGAGTGCACACACTCTCTGGCACGAACTCAGAAAAAAAAAAAAATACCCATTGCACCTCACAAAGATTATACGTGAATCAGAAATTCCATTAAAAAGAAGATAAAGGGGCAGCCCTGTGTCCTATGGCCTATAGCAACTTGCATTCCATGTGCATACATGCCCAGGGGCTTGGCAGGAAGAATAGATAGAAAGGGGGGAACACAGCATGACCACACCCCATTGGGGGTTGCTTTTCCCCTCCTTTCTGTCTCTGTCTGGTGAGCACGAGCACCCGCTGGCAAAATTTTAAAATAATAAATCAAGTTTTTAGCAAAGAAAGAAGACCTTAGGAGAACTGCACGCCAGCCCCACCGGCCCAGTGGCAGGACAACCACAAATGAGCGTGACTTGCCCATTCACAAAGATGGAAGGCTAGGGAAAGCGGAGGGTGGTCTAAGTCGTAGGATTTGGTTTTGTGGGGTGGGTAGCAGCAGAAAAATGGAGCAAGGGCGAGTGGGTGAAGTGACTCAGCATAGGGCAGCAAAGGCAAGCATGGGGAGGTGGAAAGGGCGCTCCCGGAGAGGTCGCCTGGAGGCCTACGGCTGAACGAGCATCGGGCCACCCAGCGAATACTGGAGTTTATTATGAGCATTCCTCCCATGGTCAGGACACGTGAGTGGAGCAATGGAAGTGGGAGGGAGGCATAGGTGTTTCCTATTGCTGAGTCACAAATTACCATCGCATTCATTAACTACTCCGTTATCTCCCAGGGCTGGAGGTCAGGCTTCCAGGGCAGGGCAGGCTCTGCTCAAGGCCAAGTCAAAGTGCCGGGCTCTTAACTGGAGTTTCTTCTCCAAAGCATCTGCTTCCAGGCAGAGTCAGGGTGTTAGCAGAATCCAGTTCCTTTTGGTGTTAGGACAGAGGTCCCTGTCCCCACTGACTGTCACTGCGTGTGCTGCCTCCTCCACGCTGCCTGCTGATGTGCCCCTTCCATTTTCAAAGTGAGTTGAACCTTTTGCCACTTTCTAGCCTTTCTAGCTCTCTGACGTTTCCTGATGACTTTGAAAGGACTCTGAGGTGGAGTCAGGTCTGCCTTTAACATCTTTTTTTTTTTTTTTTTTTGCGAGGATTTTGCTGTAGGGCACATGCACTCGCCAGAAAGAAAGAGAGAGACAGAAAGCCAGAAATCCCCCCACAGGGGGATGGCCACGCCGCAATCCTTTCTCCATTCTCCTCTCTGGATCTTGAGCACACACGCACACGTGCCCGGCATGAGTTTAAGCCACCAGGTCCAGGACTCAAACCATGGTCGACTACATGGGAGTCCAGTGACATAGCCATTACGCCATCTGGTGGTCCCAATATCTATTTTTTTAGGAATTATTTTATTTTATTTAACTTTATTTATTTATCTATTTAAATATGACCAGAGAGGAACAGAGCGAGAGAGAGGGACGGAGAGAAAGCAAGCCACCAGGTCCAGGACTCGAACTGTGGTTAGCCATGTGGGAGTCCAATGCTTTTAACCACCATGCCACCTGCTGGCCCCATTAACATCTATTTTTTTTTTTTTTAAATATTTTTGAGTGGGACCAGCAGATGGTGCGGTAGTCATGGTGGTGGACTCCCATGTGACCAACTGGTTCAAGGTCCAGATCTTGTGACTTCAAACTCATGCCTGGAGTGTGTGCTTGCATGTCCAAAATGCCAAGAGCAGAATGGAGAATGGATTGCAACATGACTATCCTCCCAGGGAATGATTTCTCACTTTCTCTCTGTCTCTCCAGCAAGATCATGCACCCTATAGTGTCTCAAAAAAAAAAAAAAAAAAAAGAAGTGGGGCAAACACATTTACATCACTGGACTCCCATGTAGGTGATCAGTCGAGTCCCAGACCCATCGGCTTAAAATTCACCCGGGGAACTTGTGCATATGTGCCCGAAATTCCCAGAGGAGAATGAAGAAGAGGGGATTGTGGTGTGGCCATCCCCCCTGGGGGGGGGTGATTTTTCACTTTCTGTCTCTCTGTTTCTCTTTCTGGTGAGAGCATTTGCCCTGTAGCAAAATCTCTTAAAAAAAAAAAAAAAAGTAACCAGGGGACAAATAGTAATCTTGGAGGC